TAGACGGAATTGGAGTACGCCAGAAAATCAAAATGAATCTATTCGCAGATGACACATTGCTAGCATTTCAAGACCCAATAAATACTATAGAGAGAATATATTTACATTCAAAGGAATTTGGGAAATACAGTGGTTTAAAAATAGTAGATAATATTAGATATTTAGGAATTGATATTCCAAAAGATAGCCAAGAATTAAAAAAGAAAAATTATGAAAAGATAAAGAAGGATATAAAAGATAAAATAGGAAAATATGAAAATGTAAATTATCATGGTTTGGAAGAATAGCAGTAACAAAAATTAAAATTCTGCCAAAGATTGTTTGTTTGTTTTGGATGATCCCAATCAGGTTTTATGATCAAGAATTAAAGGACATGCAGAAATTATTGGAGGTCTATTGTAATGGAGGGAAAAGAGGAAAAGTAAAGCATTATGGCATGAATCACAAAAAAAGGGGACTGGGAATTCCAGATGTTAAAAAGTATTGGGTGGCAAACCAATTAAAGATAGTTCTGGATATTATAACCCAAAATAAATAATTAATATGGAGTGATATTGAATTAAAAGAATTAAGGGAAATAGGCAATCATTTAGAGCCATATTGGTTTTAAAAAGATATTAAAAAGATTATTAAGAGAATTCAAAATCCCTTTTTAAAAAATACAATGGAAGTATGGTTAAAATGGAGGCAACAGGTAATCCCGGGAATTTCTCCGTTAACACCAGTGGTCAAAATGGAGAAATTCCCAAAAAAAGAATTAAAGGATTGGATTAATAAATTAAAAAATAACCATATATATAAATGGGAAGATTGAAAAAATAAGATAAAAATATAATACAATTAAGGAGTATATTGCCAGAGGTTAAATTAAATTGGTTAAATTTAATTCAATTAGAAAAATGGATAAAGATGGAGGACAAATTTAAAGAGGAAGAAAGACAATTAACATAATTTGAAATGAGTATAAAAGTATGTGAGACTGAGGAAGAATATACAAGTAAAGGAAGAATTGCCAAAATCTACAGGATATTAATGGAGTTAGGGGACAGTCTGGATACTTCAGATGGTGCAAAATAGAGCAGCCAGGTTGCTGACGGGGACTGGGCGTTACTCTCATATAACCCCAGTCCTCTACCAGCTGCACTGGCTTCCCATCAAAGTTCGGGCTCAATTCAAGGTGCTGGTTATTACCTATAAAGCCCTTAACGGCTTGGGACCTGGATACCTAAAGGAACACCTTCTTCTGTATTTGCCCTCCCGCCCCCTGAGATCAGCAGCAGAGGCCCTCCTCCGGGAACCCTCCGTGAAAGACATTAGAAGGCAAAGTACCAGAAGGAGGGCTTTCTGTTTTGGGAAATGGATCTAGATGAGATAAAGGACAAGGATTGGAAGAATATTAGGAATAGAAGAGTATATAAGAATGTCATTAAGAATTAAAGAGTATGGATACAAGGTGATATGGAGATAGTATTTAACACCAGTTAAATCAAATTGATGATAAACAATATATGTTGGAGATGTGGTAAAGAGATCAGAACTTATAAACATATATGGTGGGATTGTAAAAATATATAAAAGATTTGGATTGTGGTATTTAAGGAAATTGGAGAAATTTTAAATATAGATTTAGAAATGTTACCTAGAATGGTGTTATTACTGTTGATAGAAAAACAAGATATAAATGAAGCTAAGAAAGAATTGATTGTAAGCATGATAATGGCAGTTAGGCTAGTGGTAGTTAAATATTGGAAACAGAATAGGGTTTTGCAAAGGCATGAATGGTATAATGAAATATGGAATATGGTAATTAATGATAAACTGATGACAGTAATAAAAAATTTAAAAAGTTTAATGAAAGCAAATGAATATAATAAAATTTGGGAAGATTTTGTAAAAGCAGTACCGATAGAAGGCAAAGGCTGTAAACCCAATCAAGATTATACAAATTTCTGGAGGGGATATGGGTATAATTGAAGTATATTATGTATTATTAATTGTTACAGTATGTGAATGGTGGTAGTATTGGTCTCCGGGGTGGTGGGTGCACTCTATCATTTATTCTTTTCTTGATTATTGTATTCTGGTTATGTTTTATTGTTGTTGTGAAGTTTTGTATTTATGTTTTTTTTTTCTGTAAAAAAAAATAAAAATAAAATAGGGGGAAGAGAAAAAAAAAGACCAGACATCATTCTCTTGGACTGAGGGATAATCCTGTATCTGGATGTCGGGACCATCCACCTCACTGCATGGTGCAATCACCTAGTACACCTGGGCCTCCCTTTCCATTCTGCAATAAAGTCAATCCTAGACATAGTCCTGTGACCCAACATAGGAAGTCCCTACAAGGCAAAATGGACACACAGCAGGCATCCTACCGTCATATCCTCAGCTCCCTCCATGTAGTGCATTCCAGTGCATTCTCTGTTAAAAGTATATCTGGTGGTGATCTCATAGTTCCACAGGATGATCAAATGTTTTTCATGGTATTCTCATATCCACTGTCCCTTCTGTTCATGGAAGGTCTGTGTAATCTGGTCCCACACCCTCATTTTTTCATATTGGGATAGAGCCTGTCAATGGTCATGCAGATTCCTATGCAATATCTTTGAGTGGTCATCTTTACATTCACACAACCCACCCACTGATCCCATGTCAGTGTTGACTGTCTTGATTCCTGTAGCTGCTTTCCCTCAGCACCCATACTGGGATAGTGGAGGTCAGCCATTACTGGCTTTTCCTCCTTGGTTCTGAGGCTGAAACATCAGTCTCATGAGAACTGGGGTAAATGGTGGGAGCCCCTCCTAAATATACCAGGTGGAGCAGGGAAGGGCAGGGCTTCTACAGAAATGACTTTAGCTAAGAAAATCATCCTGACAACAGGCCCCGCACAGGCACAGAGTCCATATGTGTAAATGCACAGATGATCACACAGAGAACATCAATTACCAGTAAGCAACCTTACTTTTTGCAATAATTTATTGCTGTTGGTAGTTATCACAGAGTAGTTGGGAATGTAGACAGTTGGGTTTCATGGCAATTTCTATTTGGCGGGTTTGGGCAATAGTGACCCTGCCTTAAAGTTGCCTAAGAACCCTTGCTGTGCTGCACAATGAGATAGTGGGGATCCAGAGGCATCACCTCTCCCTCTCCCCACACTGGTATCCCAGCACTGAGGGAAGCAGAGATGACAGGGCCTGTTTCTGACAGCTCTCATCTGCTCCCCAGCCTCATGCTCTTGTAGATGCCAGGAAAGCAGGATTGTTTGTGAGCTATTCTGGTCTCACAACAGCAGCAGGAGAGGGGGAGCATGAAATCCAGAGTGTGGGGTGAGGGCACAAGTATCTCCTCCTGCCCACCCATGCAATCACAGCATGGGTGGATGGGCTGCCTCCCCTAGTTCTTCCCAGGAGACTGGGGGTATGTCTATTCTTGTTGTGCACAGCTGCTACTCAGGTGAGTGGCAACCACACAGAGCGGGGAGCAATTCTGAGCCACCCAAGACTGCATTACTTTGAGAGAAGAGTTGCTGCTGGGCAGGAAGAGAAGGCAACCACCCTGCTCAGTCCCTCTGGGAGGAGATTGGGGGATAGTTGTCACCTGCTGGCCAGCTCAATGGCAAGGTGACTGCACTGCCTCATGGGAAAAGAGACATTCTCCTGCACCTCCAGCCCTGTTACACCCTTCTCCCTAGCAATGCAGTCAAGCAGCAGAGGGGGTGGGAAATGGGGAAGTTACTGGGTTGTTCATTCTTGCCTCCAGCATCTCTTTTGGCCAAAATGACAGCAAGCAGGAAGGCACTGCTCAGCTTTGCTTCTTCAAGTGGAAGAGAAGCCAGACAACTGCCTCAATTCTGAAGAGCACACAGTGGACACTGATCCAGTGCTCCTACCAATGCCAGGAAGGTGGGACTGTTCCAGAACAATCCTGCTTTCCCAGCACTGGCAGGTGCTGGAAGAAGCTAAGTGCCAGCTGGGCACTTTGCTTGCTCTCACTAACTATAGGCCCTTGGTCAGAGTGGCATCTCGCTTTTGCTCTGTAGCCTTTTGACTTGATTGTCAAACCACAGTGTGTTTACTAAGCCTGAGAACAAGCCATGGCTACATGATGTGGTATATTAGCTGCCTCAGGATGACTTACAGACCACTCCCCTGGAAGTCGAAGGTTCAGATGACAAGCCACCCCCACAGAAACTTAGCATTGTCATTAATGTCATGCAGGCTTTGAATACTGTATTTTCTCTGGGAAGCCAATAATAACTGAGGAAGGCAGTTACTTTGACAAGGGTATTTTTGAGTAGCATTTTCTTGTTGTCATGTCATTAAGTCCCAGCCCTTGATAATCATCAGATACTCTGATGCACTTTTCAGTCAGGTTGTGTTGACACCACCCATTCCACCTGTAGCCTGCTATACCCCCATATGACAGATTGCATCAGGACTAGGAAGAAAGAACAATTACTTATGTGTAGTTGTGATTCTAGTCATCTATGCAGTCACACAAGCCACTCTGCTTTCTCACTGAAGGTGTCTTTATAGAGCTTCTCTTGCTCTGACACTTCTTTATAGAGAGGCAGCTGTAGTTGGAGCACTCAGCAGGAAGGTCAGGGGACATGTCATTTTAACTATGTGACCTGAAGGAAAGCATCCTGCCAAACATCTTTGCTAGAAAGCATCAAAGGTTTTCAAAGTTTGTTCTGCACCGGTGGATAATATGTAAGTGTGACTTCAGTTTATGGACCAGTCACAAGCAAGAAAACTGTTTTTACAAAGCTAGATTTTTGGTCCCTAATGTAGATTACTCTATGTGAATAGTAATTGTTTAAGACAGCAATACAAACAGCAAGTCATTTTAACTCATTCTTCCACTTATCTGACATAATTTTTCCTTCTAAAAGTTTGACTGTAATATTTTGTTGACAAATTCTGAACTTTTTTGGTAAGCCTGTATTAAAAACAATGCTATACAACAAGTACAAAAGCAGAAAATTAAGTAACACTTACATAAAATAGATCTAACTGTTGCTGGATTAAATGGAGTCCATGTTCCTAAAACAGAAAGAAGCCCAAACATGAATGCACACATGCAGGGAAAACACGACAGTGATAATAGGGCAATTAGACTCTCTAAGGCCATAATCAAGACTGACACTCTCAGCTATGTCCATATGCCAAACTATCACTGTATCATTCTTAAAAGAGCAATGTGATAAGAAATATACTAAAAGACCTGGAAGTTGGCTTTTTCTTCCATGCCCAATATACTTAATGCTGTATATAAATTAATTTATAGGAATGGGAATAAGGAAATAAAAGACCAGACTTCATTTGAAGAACTGACAGCATTCAATGCTTTATTTAGTACTAAAGTCAGCTGCCAGTGAGCCAGTGTGCTGTAATGATTAGAAAAAGTTGGACTAGGACCAGAGAAACCCAAATTCAAATCCCTACCCAGTCACAAAGTTTATTGGGTAGCTGGGGCCAACTCTCAATCTAACCACAGGGCCACTATGAAATTAAATGGGGGTGCAGGAGACCATGTAATTCACCCCCAGAATTTATTTTCCCTCAGAAGCATATGAGCCACTGAATTGAACTGGGAACATGGGAGAACCAGGTTCTAGTCCTCATTCAACCATGAAACTCATTGAGCAACTTTGGACCAGTAACTCATTCTCAGCCTAATCCATCTCACAGGGCTGTTGGAGATAAATACAGCTTTGTAAGCCACCTTGGGTTCCTTACAAAAGGAAAAGGGGTGGGATATAATAACCAAACCCAACCCAACCCAATCCAGAATTACACTTGAAATTTTCTTGAGTTTCAACAGAAAGACACCTAATGAAAGCCCTCACTAACCCAATTCACATTATCACAACATGCTACTATAGTTTAGCCAATCCAGTTTAGCTAACTGGCTTGTTAAATCAGCAATACATGTCAGGCACCATTAGCTTAATTACCCAAAGTGGAATGATTTGTCATGTCACCCACCCTCAAACAACCATTGCTTGTTGCTGGCTTCTTTTTGGGTTGTTTCTCCTTCAAATGAGTCAAATTGCCTAAATTTGAATGAACTGAAAAGCCACACCCGTGTTAATAATTAAATCAACATACACTGTTAACTAAAATCAGAAACTGCCAATTTATTCTACTAATCCCCACCAGTTCTGAACTAAACAACTCAAGAACTGATGTCCAAAAAGGTACAATAGGAGGCTTCCCCCTTTATCTCTAGAGCCACCACAGGTATAATCTATTGCTCCACGTGAGCAAGCTTCTATTCCTATGCTCAAACCTCTGCAATTGGCATAAGTAAATTTATGCATCTATGATTATGGCAAATAATATGTGTTATGTGGCAAGTATCTAACTTGGGGGGGGGGGTTCAAAGCCAGAAACTCTGAATTCTTTATAGGTTAAACAATCCAGCCTTAACCCAACAATAAAATACAACAATGGTCAATGGTGGATTGTTTCATCTCTAAACACAGGGTAGATTAGCACTACCATTTTCAGTCACGGTGAACGGGTTCAAACTTGTTGGTTCAGTAGGTTTATTTGTATTCAGAAAATAATGTCATGCATGCTGTCCCAAAGTCATTGCCATGGCAGGCACAACCAGTCACAAAACACTCATTTCCCCCAGATCCAAACTGGCAAAACAAAAAAGAAAAGTAACTTGTTCAAGAGCCTATGCAGGAGGCAGAGATGGGGGTCTAGGCTCTATTATGCAAAGCTACCCTCTTGAAACCAAATAAAAATGGTGCTAGAAGGCAGTACTTCACTTCGCAGCATGACAACCTTTACAATTACTGTTATTATTTGTTAAATCATAATCAGGAAACGGAGGGAGGGAGGGAGGGAGGGACAGACAGAGGTGTCTATAGACAAAACATTGGAGACCTCAGCTTTAGGTGATCTTGAACTTTTTGTAAATTGAATGCATATAAAACTAAGAGCATTATACTACCAAAAAGGGAGGAACTCGAGAGATCTTGACAAATCTCCTGCACTGTAATCTAACTTTCTGCCAACATTAGTGACTGTTGAGTGAACTTTCTCCTCCTCACCACAACACTCATCCTTCTCTTGTGTTCTTCAACCATAAGCCTTATCTTGAACATATCATAGCTCCACCCTCCACAGAATCCCCTAGTCCTTAAAGGTATTACCAACCTTTAAGTAATATAAAGGCATGCAGCAAGGTAGTCTTTTAATATTCATATTATTTTACAAAAACATCAACATGTTTTGTTTAGGGAACCAGCCATGACTCCTCTAGGATATTATAAGCTTTTAGACTCTCAAGGATATCAAATCACTCTCTTCACACCTGCTAGCTTTTCCAACTGATGCCATTCTCACTCTTCATTCAAGTACAGTGGTACCTTGGCTCATGAACTTAATCTGTTCCAGGACTCTGGTCGTGACCCAAACTGGTCATGAGCCAAGTTAAATTTCCCCAAAAGGTTCAATGTAAATAAGGTTAACCCATTCAGTAACCATTTTTTTGTCCTGATTGGACAAGTGAGGAGAGAGGATCAGGGCTCTGGGACCAGGGTGTTAGAGGTACTGCAGGGACTGACAGAACTCCTACAAAGAGGGGGCAGGTATCAGGGAAGATGGGAGGAAGGAGGCTGGGGACTCCAAAGAAAGGAAGCGGTGGGAAGGAGTTGAGGTGCATGTACACCAATTCTAGGAGCATGGGTAATAAGCAGGAAGAGCTTGAAGCTCTCCTGGGAATAGGAGGGTATGACCTGGTGGGGATCACAGAAACTTGGTGGGATGAAAGGCAAGACTGGAATGTAAACATAGAGGGGTATCACCTGTTCAGAAAGGACAGGAAGGGAAAGAGGGCCGGGGGCGTAGCTTTATATGTCAGGGAAGGGATAGGATGCAGTGAGATAGAATGCAGCACATATGGGGATTATTTAATATTTATTTAAAACATTTCTATGCCGCCCCATCGCAATAAAGCCTCAGGGCGGCTCACAAAACATCAATAAAGAACAATACAATAAAACCCCAATACAATAAAACCCCAGTGCAATAAAACCTCAGTGCATTCTCGGCTAAAAATTTTTAAAAAACCCTAGTTAAATAAATTAACAATTAAAATAAGTTTTAAATAAAAAGGTCTTAGCCTGGCACCAAAAAACAAATAACGGCGGTGCCAGGCGGACCTCTCTGGGGAGCGCATTCCATAAATGGGGTGCCACCGCAGAGAAAGCCCTCCTCCGGGTACTCACCCTCCTGATGTCATTCACAGATGGTTCCCGGAGAAGGGCATCTGCTGCTGACCTCAAGGGGCGGGAGGGCATATATGGGAGCAAGCGTTCCTTTAGGTATCCAGGATTCGGTAGAGGCAGTCTGGGTGAAACTAAGGGGCTTTGACAGGGAGAAGGACCTGACAGTGGGGGTATGTTATTGCCCTCCAAGTCAACTTGAGACCCTGGATGATGTCCTGACAGATCAGATTATAAGGATAGCTCAGGGGAGGGACACAGTAATTATGGGGGATTTCAATCTCCCGGATATTAGTTCTCCCGGAGACTCACTCAGTCTCCCAATCTCCCGGAGACTCACTCAGCAGTGACAGCCAGATCACGTTGCTTCCTAGACACTATAGAGGGAGGGCTTTTCGCACAGATGGTCTGAGAGGTGATTGGGGGGGCATCCTTGACTTGGTTTTGACAAACAGGGAGGAGCTGATAGATGGGGTACAGATTAGGGGAGCTCTGGATGCGAGTGTTCACTCCATCCTTTGCTTTGAGATCTGGGGATTGGGGACGTGCAGCAGGACAAGAACTAGAAGCTGGGACTTCAAGAGGGCCAACTTTGGCCAACTGAAGGCCAGACTGTGGAAAGTCTCCTGGGACAGGTTACTGGAAGGCAAGCGAGTTGAGGAGGGGTGGATGGCACTCAAAAGGGAGGTTTTGGAGCCACAAGCCTTGATGATACCTCTAGTTAGTAAGGCGGAGAGGTGCAGGAGAGTGCCGCCATGGATGTGAAAGGAGGTGGTTAGAGGGATTAGATGCAAGAGGAACCTCCATAGGAAATGGGCACTGGGGCAAATATACAAAAGGGTATACAAGGAGAAGGAAGCCCGTTGCAAAAGGATTATTCACAAGGCTAAGGCTGATTACGAGCAGAGACTTGCCAAGAATATCAAGAGCAACAAAAAGGGCTTCTTTCAGCATGTAAATAGCAAGAGGAAGGGAGGACAGGTAGTGGGGTTGCTAAATGAGGAGGAAAGGGATCCAGTGACTGATGTGAGGGAACAGGCACAGATGCTAAATGACTATTTTTGCCTCTGTGTTCTCCCCAAAGCAGGATGGGGGAGTTCTGCATGGGAGATTAGATGAGGCTGGGGATTTAGGGTCACAGATTAGAGTCACCTCCCTAGAGGCTAGTGGCCACACAACACAGCTTGTGTTGTGTGGCCACAAAACAGGTCCTGCCAGACAAACCTTGTAGAATTCTATGAAAGGATTCAAGGTGGCTAGATGGAGTGGACGCAGTGGATGTGGATTTCAGCAAGCTCTTTGACAAAGTGCCCCATGATATCCTGGTTGAGAAATTGAGGAGTTTTGGGATAGACCAATGCACTGTCCAATGGATTAAACCACTTTATATTACTGAACTTGCAGTTTTTCTTCTCTAGTTACCCTTTCACCATCATTATACTTTTTTACATTCATGTAATCTTTTTCATTGTGTTCACATGCACACAAAAGGCAGATATAGAAACAGACATATGCTGTCTATTTTTCAACAGGAAAATAGTTTCTGTCCACTATCTTTTGGATGACACCAAAGTGTTTAACCCTAAAGCTACAAATATGCCACAACACAAGTACTCTCAAAAGCAGGTTTAACATTTCTATTACTATGCAGCCCCAAATATCTGAAAAAGCACTTTTTCCCCATATCTTCCAGGAGCTACAGAGAAGACTCTGTTCTAAATCCTGTCCATTCTGGAAAGAAGACAGATAGTCCAAGGCTTCACAGTGATTAGGACTACTTTGATGGTGTGACACAATTTTCCTAGGATTGGTTAACCAATTCTGTTTTCATATTTTCACTGCTACTTCTGGCAAGTTCTACTTATTTTCTCTTGTTGCCTTTTGAGGCTTACATTATGAATTATTTCATTTTATTGAAAAACAAAACGTTTGATATGTAAGTATTATTTCAAGTAACAAAAACCTGAGTTTCCTACTCTGCCCTGGTACAGATAGCCTCCACGGAAGAGAAACAGAGCAAAAGAGAAAAATAATCTCTTAACGGGGCCGTAGGTTTAGAAAGGAGGCAGAGACCTCTTGACTCACCGTTGGAGAGCGCATGTTGGAGCTCGCTGTCCGAGATAACCCCGCTGCGGTCCTTATCAACCCTGAAACGAAACACAGTTTAGGACAGTTTCCTAAGTGACGGGATCGGAGAAAAGGAGCCTGGCGCCCACCGCCACACCCAGGATGCCTTGTCGGGTTGAGCGAGCAAGTGCGGCCCGTCGGAGGGAGCACCACGCTCGTTTCTCCGAGACCCATGACTGCCGCTCGTCACCTCGCGGCGAGGAAGGGGAAGGGGCAGTTTACCTTTGAAAGACTCCCCACAAGAAGTTCGCGTCAGGCATCCCCATCGCCGCCATGGCCCACACCGACCCCGCGGCGCGAACAGCGCGGGAATCCAACCACACCCCGGCTCGCTAACCAAGAAGTCCGAAGTTCCGGGTTCCGACTGCGGCCGTGGCGAACGGAAACGAAAAGCGCAGCCTCTTCCTCCAGCTTCCTTAACGCAAATTCCGGCGCACCGAGCCCTACGAACGGACGTACAGTTCCTCTGACGAAACCCTTCAGCTCCGCGGAAGGAGAGAAGGGCGGGAAGGAGTTGTGCAAAACACATCCTGGGCGGAGTCAGCCTCTTCCCGGATTGAACAATCCTTGCTTTGCTCCTTCTTCTCTCTGCCAGAGGGATCCTGAGAGCGCGAGCCCGTACGTGTATTCAGTTGTGTAGTGCGAGAAAATGAGGGTAGACCAGTTATTTACAACTTGGTGCCCTGCAGCTATCTTGGATTACAGCTCCCAGCATTCTCGACAATTTACCATGCCCTTTGCGAGATGCTAGAATCTTAGAATAGAGTTGAAAGAGCCAATAAGGCCATCGGGTCCAGCTCCCTGCTCAGTGCAGGAATCTCAAGTGAAAGCATCCCCAGCAGATGGTTGTCCGGCCACATCTTGAATGCTTCCGGTGTTGGGCAGCCCACAACCTCCCTACGTAATTGGTTTATTGCCATATTGCTCTAACAGGAACCGTTTTCTAATGTTTAACTGAAATCTGGATTCTTGTAATTTGAGCGTCCTGCACACTGGGATGATCAGGCGAGATCTGGCCCTCCTCTCTATGACAGTCTTTCAAGTATTTGAGTGCTATCATAGCTCCCCTGTCATTTCTGCTCAAGTCTAAATATGCGCATTTCTTTAGGTTTGTCCTCATAGGGCTTTGTTTCCAGTCTACTGATCATCCTTGTTCCATCTTCTGAACTATTACCATTTTGTCTGCATCTGTTTTAAGTTGTGGTGTCCTGAACTGAACACAGTGCTCAATATGCGGCCTAACCATTGCTGAGTGGAGGGCACCTGGCATTTTGCATGATTTGGAAGTGTTACTTCTATTAATGAAGTCCAAGATAGCATTTGTCTTTTATTGAAAGCACATCACATGGTTGACTCATTCATTATATACAACATTTCTGAGATCCTTCTCATTGTTGAGCCAAATATCCACCATCTTATAGCTATACATTTGGTTTCTTTTTCCTAGGTGCAGGACTTGTCAAGATCAAATGTCATTGTGTTATTTTCAGCCCAGTGCTCCAGCCTTTCAAGATCACTTTGAACTTTGTTTTCCAAAAACATCTAAAAGTCTGATAAATTGTAATTTAATAAATCTGCAGAACACCAGATTGGGAAAAACTATGCTAGACTAAATACAGCTTTCAGCTAGACTTTACATGCAATGGTTTGATTTCACCAGAGCTAAAGTGGTAACTAAGCAAAGAAATGAACAAATGCAGGATTTTATCATAGATGTGATTAGACACTAATGTGTCCCCTCCAGCAAGAGAATGCAGCAAAATCTAAATTTTATTTGAAAAAAATCAGTTTTGTTGCTCTAAAAACACACATTTAAATGTACAATATTCTTTGTTGTAAACCAGTGGAACATGCGGTTCTGCATGCCATTGTTTTAGGGTGGTTTACAACAGTAAAACCAATAACAGTTCACAAAGTTAAAAGCAGTGCTAAAAACAAGCACAGAAGGATTTTTTTCTAAAAATTGTGTCATGTAACAGCCTAGGGAATTGTGTTTTTTAAATAAGTATTTGCCTGGCAAACAAAACAACCCTTGAGTCTTCCTGGGGAGAGAATTCTGCAAGTGCCAAAAGAATCTTGTATTAGTGCCAGTCTTGCTTCAAATTGCAGGAAACCCCAACAGAAGACTTCTGAGAAAGATTTTACTATATCCATTTTCCAAACCATATAGTATTTTGCAGGTATTTTTCATTGGTTTGAACTGTGCTCAGATACTGATGGGAAGGCAATGAAATCTAAAGCCTGTGTGCCAATTAGGAATCTAGCATCTATGCTTAGAAGCAACTGCAGTTTTCAAGCTCTCTTCAAAGGCAACTCCACATTACAATAATATAAACTGGAAGTTACCAGGAAATGTTGCAGGCCTTAGCTGGAAAAAAGCTATTTGAGCTTGCAGCGATAGACCTGAATCAATAAGCATCATGGCCTATGAACCTACTTCAGTGGAAGTAGTTTCTTACTTAGAATAACCACCACCTTCCTGATTAGGTGAAGAGTCCACCAACAGTATATGACCCTTTCAAGGCTGAATTCCAGTGTATTCATACACATCCATCATTGTCTTCAGGCAAAACATCTACCATCTCTCCTGCCTTCTGTTTCAAAGGAGAGATACAAACAAGCATCATTCATCTATGGCACCAAATCCCAAACTTCAGATTGATCTTTACTGTAATTTGGGTATAGAAACACACTAACCTCATCCCATCCCTTAGGTGCATATTGAAAGCAGGCTACATTTCAAACCCATTGTAAACCACAACAGGTTTAAAATTGAGATAATAAGCTATATTGGGATTGACATGGGGGTTTTTCTGCTGAAAACCTTCACAAATGCCAAAATATTTTCCATAGAAAGCGAGGCTCAAGTCCTGAACTCTCATCTTTTCTGTTACCATTTATTTTTGTGTGGACCCGCTGCTGCTCAGTCTCAGCTACTTCTAAGGCCCTCTTTTCCATGAGCTGCAGAGAAGTTGCTAACTAGGCAAAAAGGCTCAACTTTTACCTGCTGTGATGTCATGTCTCCCTATACAAACACATCCCTCTCATCTCAGTATCTGTTCCTTATAGCCCATGTCAGTCCACTAACCCTATTCAACAGTTCACTATTAACATAAGGTACCCATCACATAAATCCAAGTATATGATACCCCTCTTGCAAACTTTTTGTCCCTACTTTAAAGTCTCCCATGGCATTGTACTTCCTCTCCTCCTCTTGCCCTTACATCCTTAAATATCCATACTTAAAAGCTCAGCTCTTCCAACTTTATCAACCTCAACCAGCCTTAAGTCTTAGTCTCTCTCATTGCTTCCTTATACCAAATGTAGCTTGCATAGTGTCACCTCTCTCCCCAAAGCCTTAAAAAAAATAAAATGTTTTTATTGTGAAGTCCTTGCTTAATTCTCTAGACTTTAACCCCAGAGCAGTTTTATGTACAGTTCAGTTCCTGTAAGCTCCAGCCAGCATAGTCAATGGTCAGAAATGCTGGGAATTATAGTTTGAAATATCTAGAAGACTGAAAAGGCAAATATAGCCACACTTGCTAAGGTTCTGTTTGTGTGTGACCTCTTGCTCAGCTGCTGCTTTTCGCCCTTTCCTGCCTCAAGAACACCAGTTCCTGAAGCATGATCTGAGTGGTTGAACCATTGATACTGCACTGTTCCAGACAGTACAGCACCCACTTGTTCTTCCTTTGCAAGTCTCATTTCTCCTCACTGGCTTCCCCTCCCACTGCTTATCTTCTCATGCTCCCCCTGAAACTGTTGCTACCTTCATCCACATAGCATTTACAGTCCATGACACAAGCCTTTCTTGAAGTGCTTACCTTTCTTGAAGTGCTTTCAAGAAATTGCTTCTGTTGGCAATGACTCTGCCTCACAGAATTTTAGAAGAGCCCCAGGAAGAAAACACTGCTGTTTTCTATTTGCAATCCAGCCATGTTTTCCATGGCTTCTTTTCAGTGTTTTTGTAGTACAAAATTCCATTAAAGCAGAAAAAGACTGAATAGCTGAATAATTCCTTTTACCTGGTAATACTAGAAAATGTTATCTGGGGTTATCCTTGGTCCTTCAAGCTACTTGTCTATACTGAAAAATAATACACACATTACCCTACTATACCTTAGTGTAACTATGCTAAAGCATATATAAGAAGTAATCATATTTCCCTGCAATACCTATGCCCCCTTCTCTCTCTCTCACTGTTGATGCTCTTTTAACAACAATCTGACAGTTTCCTGAAGGAGCAAGAGCTTCAAATACAAGCATTATTTATTCATTTATTTATCCAGCAATCCTTTCTTCCCATATTTTTTCAAAACTAGTGGAAGTCAACTGAATGAAGAACACACCTAAATCACTGATTTTGTTTTTGTTGTTTTTCCACTTGTTCACCCTAAAAGTAAATTCATCCTTTTTAAATTTTCTAAAACATCCAGTTATGCATCAGAATACACAATGTTCAAGATAAGTAATTGTGAGAAAAGTCTAATGCTGATAATGAAAGATATCAGTTCAAAGCACTAGGGCCATCAGAATACTGCATATTCTTCAAGTGACCACTCTGGCTATCTGAACACCTTGTTGCAATCGCTAACATGAAACAAACAAAAAAAAAAAGCCAATTAAGAAACCCCAATGTGTTTTCCAACTGCATAACCAAATAAGTCTACAACTGTTCTGAAAGTAGTAATACCAAACCCAAAACAATACATATTGAAATATGCTACTATTACTTAAGAAGTTTTGGCACTGTTAGTGTAGGAACTGTGATTTCTTTAAAAATTGGCACATAGTTTGCATTTAGTTGACTTGGACCTTTGTCCAGAGTTTCAATGATGGTTTGCTTCATCTCTCTGCTAGCATCTCCTCTCATTGTCAACAAAGCTGCAACATGGTCGTCCCTGCCAATCAGAGTAGCATGACATTAGTATAAATACAGTTTATGGGGAAAAAATTCACAGCAATTCACAGTTAAGGGATCAAAGTTATACTCAGGCTGTATTAACTGAAACTGAGCCTAAGAACTAGAAGGTGCTCTGAACACATCCATTGGAGCATTTCAAATTGAAAGCAATTGAAAGTATTTGAGAGCACAATCTGCTCTCATTCTATAGGTTCTCAGGTAAACCCAGGAGCTAGTTTGGGCCAACTGTGCCAGAAAGGATGCTTGGGAGTAATCAAACAATAGTAATCACTATTGCATTTGCCATCCCAGCCATTATTGCCAGAAACTTCCTAAAAACATTCAGGATTTTCTCAGGTTCTGTTAGTATCTGAAAGCAAACCATCTTAATGGGCCTAACATCCTGTGACGGTAACTAACCACAGTCGACCTAAACTTTATTAGGAAATGATTTGACCATGAGAATTGGGTTTTTAAAAATCCAATTTCAAACTACTACTCCTGACATCAGTTAGATATACCAGGTTCAGGATTGTTGTTGTTAGTTGCGAAGTTGTGTCCGACCCATCGCGACCCCATGGACAACATTCCTCCAGGCCTTCCTGTCCTCCACCATCCCCCGGAGTCCACTTAAGCTTACACCAACTGCTTCAGTGACTCCATCTAGCCACCTCATTCTCTGCCATCCCCTTCTTCTTTTGCCATCTATTGTTCCCAGCATTAGGCTCTTCTCCATTGAGTCCTTCCTTCTCATTAGGTGGCCAAAGTATTTGAGTTTCATCTTCAGTATCTGGCCTTCTAAAGAGTAGTCAGGGTTGATCTCCTTTAAGACTGACCGGTTTCATCTCCTTGCAGGCCAAGGGACTCTCAGAAGTCTTCTCCAGCACCACAATTCAAAGGCCTCAATTCTTTGGCGCTCAGCCTTCCTTATGGTCCAGCTTCCACAGCCATACATTGCAACTGGGAAAACCATAGCCTTGACTATATGCACTTTTGTTAGCAGGGTGATGTCTCTGCTTTTTAGTATGCTGTCTAGATTTGCCAGAGCTTTCCTCCCCAGGAGCAAGCGTCTTTTAATTTCTTGGGTGGAGTCCGTCTGCGGTGATCTTGGAGCCCAGGAAAATAAAATCAGTCACTACCTCCATTTCTTCCCCATCTATTTGCCAGGAAGTGAGAGGACCGTTTGCCATGATCTTCGTTTTCTTAATGTTGAGTTTCAAGCCAACTTTTGCACTCTCCTCCTTCACCCGCATCAAGAGGCTCTTTAGATCCTCTTCACTTTCTGCCATTAGAGTGGTATTATCTGCATATCTAAGTTTGTTGATATTTCTCCCAGCAATCTTAATTCCAACTGGGGATTCGTCTAGCCCCACCTTTCTCATGATGTGCTCTGCATATAAGTTAAATAGGCAGAGCGACAGTATACAGCCTTGCCGAACTCCTTTCTCAATTTTGAACCAATCAGTGGTTCCGTGCCCAGTTCTCACTGTTGCTTCTGGACCCGCATATAGGTTTCTCAAGAGACAAATAAGATGGTCTGGTTCTCCCATCCCTTTAAGAACTTCCCACAATTTGTTGTGATCCACATAATCAAAGGCTTTAGCATAGTCAATGAAGCAGAAGTAGATGTTTTTCTGGAACTCCCTAGCTTTCTCCATCATCCAGCGTATGTTGGTAATTTGATCTCTAGTTCCTCTCCCTCTTCGAAACCCTGCCTGTACTTCAGTCCACGTACTGCTGAAGCCTAGCTTGTAGGATTTTGAGCATAACTATGCTAGCATGTGAAATGAGTGCAATGGTGCGGTAGTTTGAACATTCTTTGGCATTGCCCTTCTTTGGGATCGGAATGTAAACTGACCTTTTCCAATCCCGTGGCCACTGTTGAGTTTTCCAAATTTGCTGGCATATTGAGTGTAGCACTTTTACTGCATTGTGTTTTAAGATTTTGAATAGCTCAGCTAGAATACTGTCACCTCCACTAGCTTTGTTGTTGCTCAGACTTCCTAAGGCCCATTTGACTTCACATTCCAGGATGTCTGGCTCGAGGTCAGTGACCCCCCCACATCGTGGTTATCAGGGACGTTAAGCTTTCTTGTATTGTTCTTCTGTGTAATCTTGTCACCTCTTCTTAATCTCTTCTGCCTCTGTTAGATCCCTGTCATTTTGGTCCTTTATCATGCCCATCTTTGCATGAAACGTTCCCTTCATATCTCCAATTTTCTTGAAGAAATCACTGGTCCTCCCTATTCTATTGATTTCTTCTTTTTCTTTACACTGTTCATTTAAGAAGGCATTCTTATCTGTTCTAGCTATTCTCTGGAATTCTGCATTCAATTGGGTGTATCTTTCTGTTTTTCCCTTTCCTTTTGCTTCCCTTCTTTCCTCAGCTATTTGTAAAGCTTCCTCGGACAGCCATTTTGCTTTCTTGCATTTCTTTTTCTTTGGGATGGTTTTAGTTGCTACCTCTTGTACAATGTTGCGAACCTCTGTCCATAGTTCTTCAGGCACTCTGTCTATCAGATCCAATCCTTAAATCTATTTGTCACCTCTACTGTATATTCATCAGGGATATAATTTAGGTCATACCTGAGTGGCCTAGTGCTTTCCCCTACTTTCTTCAATTTAAGCCTAAATTTTGCAACAAGAAGCTCATGAATCTGAGCCACAGTCAGCTCCTGGTATAGTTTTCACTGACTGTATACAGCTTCTCCATCTTCGGCTGCAGAGCACATAGTCAAACTGATTTCTGTGTTGACCATCTGGTGAGGTCCATGTGTAGAGTTGTCTCTTGGGTTGTTGGAAAAGAGTGTTTGCCATGACCATCGTATTCTCTTGACAAAATTCTACCAGCCTGCGCCCTGCTTCATTTTGTACTCCAAGGCCAAACTTACCTGTTATTCCAGTTATCTTTTCGCTTCCTACTTTAGCATTCCAATCCTCCATGATGATAAGGACATCATTTTTTGGTGTTAATTCCAGAAGGTGTTGTAGGCCTTCATAGAACTGGTCAACTTTAGCCTCTTCAACACCAGTGGTTGGGGCATAGACTTGGACTACTGTGATGTTGAATGGTTTGCCTTGGATTCGAACTGGGATCATTCCGTCATTTTGGAGATTGTATCCCAGTACTGTTTTTCCTACTCTTTTATTGACTATGAAGGGTACTCCATTTGTTCTGAGGGATTCTTGCCCGCAGTAGTATACCTGATGGTCATCTGAATTAAATTTACCCATTCCTGTCCATTTTAGTTCACTGATTCCTAAGATGTTGATGTTCAGTCTTGTCATCTCTTGTTTGACCACATCCAGCTTGCCTTGATTCATGGATCTTACATTCCAGGTTCCTATGGAGTATCGATGTTTGCAGCATCGGACTCTCCTTTCACCATCAGATACATCTGCAACTGAGTGTCCTTTCGGCTTTGACCCAGTCGCTTCATTCTTTCTGGTGCTACTAGTATTAGCCCTCTGCTCTTCCCCAGTAGCATATTGGACACCTTCTGACCTGAGGGACTCATCTTCCGGCATCATATCTTTTTTTCCTTTTGGTACTGTCCATGGGGTTTTCATGGCAAAGATACTGGAGTGGGTTGCCATTTTCTTCTCCAGGGGATCACGTATTGTCAGAGCTCTCTGCTATGACCTGTCCATCTCGGGTGGCACTGCATGGCATAGCTCATAGCTTCATTGAGCTACACAAGCCCCTTCACCATGACAAGGCAGTGATCCATGAAGGAGAGGTTCAGGATATGTCCTGCCAAATGTGTTGAACCAATATTGAGCAACCAGGAAGTTCTGGCTGTACTTCATAAATGCTCTCCTATGTGAAAGCTGAAATATGCCCAGGAGAATTGCCTTGGGGTTTTCCAGCACCACCAAAAATGGCTCAGGGAGGCACAATGACAGCCAGCAGTGTGGTTGATACACAAGCAGAATGTCTAATCTGCCTTTCTCTGGCACAAAACCACGTGCAAACACTCAGATTTAATAGTAGATTCCTTGTGCATTATTAGAGTCCCTCTCCTGGACTGTATACATCCAAGGGGGCAGATCCACTCTCCAAAACATAACTACCCAAGTTTTGGACACATATACCAGGTCCCCCACTTCATCCACAATCAAATCATGCATGAGAGCTGTCCTATTATGGACCAACCTGGCATTTACAGTACAAGCAGTACATAGGCCAGACTAAGTTAGCAGGTTGGGTTAACAATAAGTGGATTTAATTTCATGCTTTGGGAGGAACTGCCATAGTTATATTTGGAAACTAATTTACTTTTAAGTAAGTTGTGTGCACTGACTTTTTTTAATCATGACACGAAGCCTCTGATTTGCTATTGTTTTCTACTTGTTACACATATTCTATACAAATGTAATTGTCAGGCTATGCTGTAAAGAAGTAAATTGTATGTGCTGGAGCTTCCTTATGACATAAATTGAATTAGATGTTCTTCAGTTTTTTCAGTGTTTCAAACAATAAAGTATTTTACTCAAAGTACAAGAGAGAGAAATATATAGTTCATTGTCATCTTAAATTTCTCATACCCATACTGAACAAACACTGCCCAGTGCTCCTAAAAGTTATTCAACTGGTATCCTTCCATGTTAGAGTTGTCAGCAAAAGGAATATTTAATCCCTCCTGTTACATGCTGATTCATCCCCTAAGGCAGTTCCTGATTCCAGGTTGATTTCAGCTTATGGTGCCTACCTGAGACATGGAAACTAAATGGCATGGAGGTGCATTTGCAGGAAGAAGGATTACACAGATTCTTATTAGGTGTTTAGAGTCTGCATTTTTCATAATAAGCAACACTGACCCAGGATGTCTGATTCAGACAAGGACTACTAAAACAACTGCATAATAAAATCTTCAGATAAATTATGCCGTATTGTTTAACAAGGCTATATTTACATGCTATTACTTGACAGCATTCAGGTGATTTGCATACCCCAGGAGATTTGGATAAATCTGTCATGATTGTAAAAGACTGTTAGAAATTTGAACTCTAGAACTGAACAGTGTTACCTGATGTCTGGGTGTTTGCTAACTAAGGTTGAGACTTCTAGATACAGCAGTGAAGGATCCGTCAGCTTGAATACTTCTGCAATGGCTTCAATGACATCACAAAGTCCTTCTGTGTTCTCCTCAGACTCCTAAATTGATCACAACAGATCTTAAGTATGATCCTTTTCAAGCTGCTTAATATGCAGCTAATAGCGTGATAACAAATTGGCAAAACATTGATCACATCTAGTTTTGCTGTCTTTACATGTATTACGTTGCCTGTAAGCGGTGCTTTTTTTGTCATAGAACGCACCGGAACAGCGTTCCGGCACCTTGTTTGATGGATTTTTCCATGTGATTGTGAATCGCCCTGTCGGGTGTAGCAGGTCGGCAGCAAACAGCGTTAAAATAGTGCCTGCGGGCTGCGTGTGTGTCGGCACTGCTCAGGAGGGCGCTGTTTGGCTCGGGACGCTGCTCAGCTTGGGATCGGTCATGTGGTTGCGCGCTCAGTGCTTACTGCCAGCGGTGACCATTATGTTTGTGTGTATGTAGACTGACTGACCCCAAGAGGTGAGTTCCGGCACTTTTTTTTTTTTTTTACAAAAAAAGCACTGCCTGTAAATATGCCTAATTCCATGCTGGACTGTAGATATAAGATTGATTCAGCTTGCCAGCATTTTTATCAAGATCACACTGAAGTTATTTCAGCAGTCCTACACACAGAATTACTGCATGGCTTATGAGTGGAATTCATTGAAATTCTTGCAGTGGCAGAATTGCTTCCTTCAGTGGAACCAGCAGGCAGGCAAAATTCCCTTGCACTCTCCCTGAAGGACAGGGTTTGCAGCTTGGGCGATGCTCCTGGATACAAAACTATCATTTAGGTAGAAGTCTCAGGCAGACTCAGTGGCCAGGAGCGCCTGCCTTCAGCTGTGTTTAGTTTACTGTGGCCCTACCGGGACAGGCAGAGCCTAGCCACAATGACACATGCTCTGGTAACTTGACTATAGTAACATGTTCTACATGTGGCTGCCCTTGAAGATGGTCTGGAAACTCCAACTGGTAGAGACTAGGGCAGCATGACTGCTGGTACAAGCAAGTTCACACATTAATATCACCCTGATATTATATCAGTTACACTGGCTACCAGTTGAGCCCTGGGCCCAATTTAAAGTGATTGTGCTAACATATAAAGCCCTAAACAGCTTGGGATACATGAAGGACTGCCTGCTCCCATATATACCTACCTGGTCCCTAAGATCTGGTTAGGAGGCCCTTCCAAGAGACCTGTCCTTTAAGCAGGTAAAGAGGATGGCAAATAGAAGAGGAGCCTTCTCAGTAGCTGCACCCCAATAGCCTTCCAGAAGTAGTTTACCTGGCAGCATCTTTACAATTTTTTCAGTGCCAGGCAAAAACAATCCTCTTCCCCAAACATTTTAACAACTAATTTTATATTTGGATGTTATTTATACTGCTTTTAGCTATATTTTAACTTATTGATATCTTACCTCAGCTGCATATTTCTCTGTGTTATTGTATGTTGTTTTTATTATTGTTATTTTATGTAATATTGTAATCTGCTTAGAGAGTCTTTGGACTAGTGTGGCAGAATATAAGTTGAATAAATAAGAATAGCAGATAAACAGCTAAGGAAAACTGATTTACTCAATATTTACTTGGTCCACCAGCATACAAACTATTGTGTCATCATCTTATCAAGAAGTGTGAAAACAGCAGTTGTGGTAACACTGAGATTGAGGGTGTTACACTGTGAGAAGATCTTGAAAATTTTCTCAGTAACACTGCAGTAACACTATGATTGAGCAGTAACACTGACTGAGAGGGTTACACTCTGAGAAGATCTTTAAAATTTTCTTCTTGTAGCATCCAGTTCTCTTATACTTACTTTTGTAAGTTTCCTAAACAGAAATTTGAACTGTTCAGCTTCTCTGTTCATTCTTTCAGCACCTTCTCTTCTTTCTTCTGCGTTCTTGAAAGTAATACGCTTTAACATAATAGCCTGGATATATTCCACAACAACTCTACGGTGGCATTCAGTAGTCATTTTCTGAAAAACACATGTTCTATTATGCCCACCTCATTCAAGTTTGTTGGCTATGTGAGTTTAGGGACAAACACTCATGAATTTACTGATTTGTCAGCTAGGCCACTGCCATCAGAAAGAGGCTTTATCACACTTTTGAAGAAACAACCGATTTCTGTGAAAAAACAGACTTCTACTGAACCCAGGTTACCATGGAAGTGAGAATTTACTCTTACTCCCGGTATTAACATCTGAACAGGAAGCCAAATATGAGCTTTCTTTTTCTCACACCATACTCTCTGCAAGGAACTCCACACTGTACCCTGAAACCCAAGAATTTTTTTAGGTATGTAACATGTTACTAGCACTGTAAGGATGAGTACTGAGTATTATTTGGAATTTTGTGAGAGAGACAGTTGTCTTCCCTTGTTCTTCCTGTTTTCACCCTTTTCCAAAATAAGCTTCTGCTTATATCTGGGCATTTGACTGTGTTCTTCTGAAATGGAACCTCCCACTAAAACCTTCAATTACAAGAGAGCAAAACTGCCTCCCGTGTTCTTAGGATTTTCACAAGGTTCTTTGAAGTTCTATGCTTTTGATTGTTGGCCATGTAAATCCAAAGCACTCTATTGCCTTTTTCCTAATGGTGGCTGAATGGAGGACACTTGATGGAAGAACTGAGAATTGTTTCAATAGGAAAGAATGGGGTGTGTCAGGAAGTTCTAATTCTTCTTTAGGAAAATCCCTATAAACATATAAAGGTCATCCTTCTACTACATTTCTAATACTTCTAATTATAATCAGCTATTTCACATAAAGTGGATAATTATGGCACTCACTATATCCCCTGCTTGGAGTACAAAATGAAGCAGGGCACAGACTGGTAGAATTTTGTCAAGAGAATACAATGGTCATAGCAAACACTCTTTCCCAACAACCCAAGAGACAATGCTACACATGGACCTCACCAGATGGTCAGCACAGAAATCAGATTGACTATGTGCTCTGCAGCCAAAGATGGAAAAGCTCTATACAGTCAGTAAAAACAAGACCAGGAGCTGACTGTGGCTCAGATCATGAGCTTGTTGTTGCAAAATGTAGGCTTAAATTGAAGAAAGTAGGGAAAAGCACTAGGCCACTCAGGTATGACCTAAATCATATTCCTGATAAATATACAGTAGATGTGACAAATAGATTTAAGGAATTAGATCTGATAGACAGAGTGCCTGAAGAACTATGGACGGAGGTTCGCAACACTGTACAAGAGATAGCAACTAAAACCATCCCAAAGAAAAAGAAATGCAAGAAAGCAAAATGGCTGTCCGAGGAAGCTTTACAAATAGCTGAGGAAAGAAGGGAAGCAAAAAGCAAGGGAGAAAGAGAAAGATACACCCAATTGAATGCAGAATTCCAGAGAATAGCTAGAAGATACAAGAATGCCTTCTTAAATGACCAGTGTAAAGAAACAGAAGAAAACAATACAATAGGGAGGACCAGAGATCTCTTCAAGAAAATAGGAGATATGAAGGGAACATTTCATGCAAAGATGTACATGATAAAGGAACAAACTGGCAGGGACCTAACAGAGGCAGAAAAGATTAGGAAGAGGAGGCAAGATTACACAGAAGAACTATACAAGAAAGAGCTTAACATCCCTGACCACCACGATGGGGTGGTCACTGACCTCGAGCCAGACATCCGGGAATATGCAGTCAAATGGGCTTTAGGAAGCCTGAGAACCAACAAAGCTAGTGGAGACAACAGTATTCCAGCTGAGCTATTCAAAATCCTAAAAGACAATGCAATAAAAGTACTACACCAATATGCCAGCAAATTTGGAAAACTCAACAGTGGCCACAGGATAGGAAAAGGTCAGTTTACATTCCAATTCCAAAGAAGGGCAATGCCAAAGAATGTCCAAACTACCGCACAATTGCACTCATTTTCCATGCTAACAAAGTTATGCTCAAATTTCTACAAGCTAGGCTTCAGCAGTACGTGAACCAAGAACTACCAAAAATACAGGCAGGGTTTCGAAGAGGCGGAGGAACTAGAGATCAAATAGCCAAGATACATTGGATCAAGGAGAAAGCTAGGGAGTTCCAGAAAAACATCTACTTCTGCTTCATTGACTATGCTAAAGCCTTTGATTGTGTGGGTCACAACAAATTGTGGGAAGTTCTTAAAGAGATGGCAGTACCAGACCATCTTATTTGTCTCTTGAGAAACCTATATGCTGGTCAAGAAGAAACAGTGAGAACTGGACACAGAACCACTGATTGGTTCAAACTTGAGAAAGGAGTTTGGCAAGGCTGTATACTGTCACCCTTGTTATTTAACTTATATGCAGAGCACATCATGAGAAAGGCGGGGCTAGATGAATCACCAGTTGGAATTAAGATTGTTAGGAGAAACATCAACAACCTCAGATATGCAGATGATACCACTCTAATGGCAGAAAGTGAAGAGGACCTAACTAAAGAGCCTCTTGATACAGGTGAAAGAGGAGAGCGCAAAAGTTGGCTGGAAACTCAACATTAAGAAAACGAAGATCATGGTATCTGGTCCTATCACATCCAGGCAGTTAGATGGGGAAGAAATGGAGGAAGTGACAGCATTTATTTTCCTGGGCTCCAAGATCACCGCAGATGGTGCATTTCACATCTATTCATTGCTATGTATATATACAAATTTATGTAGATATTTTTTAAAAATTTGAGGCCTTTGAATTGTGGTACTGGTGGAGACTCCTGCAAATCCCTTGGCCTGCAAGGTGATCAAACCAGTCAGTCTTAGAGGAGATCAACCCTGACTGCTGTTTAGAAAGCCAGATACTGAAGTTAAAACTCAAATACTTTGGCCGCCTAATGAGAAGGACATCACCATTTTTCACCCACCATGTTCTTCATTGGCTGCACTGAAGGGTCCCTTCAGCCTTCCTTGGACTGGTGTGGTAGGGTTTGCTCATTAACCATTTTGTCTGGACAAGCAAATTATTATTACAAGTTTTGGAACAAGGTAGAATTCTAACCAACTTCAAACTATAATTCTTGGCTTGTTCTGTGTTGGTAACCCTGGCTTCCTGGTTTACAATAAATTAGATGTTTCTTAGTTGGATTGCTCATGCCACAACCTGAGGAGTGAAGGGACTGCATTCCCTGGAAAAAGAGTTCTTATTAAGCTGAGATATGACTGTCTGAACCAGGCCACTATATTGAAATTGCTTTGCAACACTTCTCAGTCTTCCAAGTCACATAAGGAAAACCCCAGTGAAGATCTGTTATGCTAATATTAGCAGTAAATCAATCCAATTGTCATAATTTTGGAATTACAAATTAAAAGTATTGATTCCTACAGCAAGAGCTGTCACTTGAATAGGCTGCATGCACTGAAAATGAAGGAAATGCTTACTGGTTCAAGTGACATAGCTTTTGATCTAAGGAACGTACCTTTAGTTTATTTTCAGAATGCTCATTTACAGAGATCTTTACACTAATGCAAGATCAGGCTTTTTATTAATTGTATTCACGTGTTACTCTTGCTATACTTCAAGTCAATGCAACAATAAAATGCTCAGGAATTATAAATCAGCTTGTCACTCCATTAGACTACTTTAAATATTGCAAATTAGAGTTTACAAATACCTTCTTATATGGTGTCTTTATTCTTGCAAAATCATTGAAATAATCCTCTACTGTTACACATATTGTATCCACAGCATTGGATCCTGCCAGCCACTTTCTTGTCATCAGCTCATTGAGGTGGGGCTAAGAGAGAAAGCAGGCACAAACAAGGAGTGTTGGTTAAAACCATTGTTTCACAATGTCATTCAACTTCATGTACTTACTTGTACATCCCAATGTCGTAACTGCATCATAACTATTGTAGAAAAGTTGAATATCAAGCAGATATTGGCACCAGGCTAAAACTGTAGGAAGACAAACACTCAAGATGTCCAGAACTAATGTGGACAATCATTTTACACACACAGGTTTATTTCAAGTAGAAGTAAATTTTTTCTTAAATGCTATGCGTGTGTGTTTAAGAAAAACAGCTTCCACTGAAATAAACCATCAATATTTTACATGCTTCTAACTGGCTTTGTTACTGGCTCAATGGTATAAGGAAGGGCTCCCCCATTCTGTTTTAGAACACTTGCCCCAGTTTGAAGCTGGGTATTGAGATTTTAGGCTTGCACCATGTGCAAAATCATTTGGAAATGTTTAAAGTAGAATTTATTTAAATTTGGGATCAATCAATTGCTCTATCTGGGTTGCAGACAGAATGTCAAGTTACAAGTCAATTTCAATGTCTCTAGCATTTGCTTTAGACTTTAGACTTGGGAACCATTTCCTTGCTAGATACCTGCAATGTCCCTGCTCTCTTTCTCTGCTTGAAGCATGTTGTTGTCTGGTCTGGTTGATCTGTAGGGTCATGAACCAACCATGACTTTATGCCCTGTTAGGATCTTTAATCTTAATGTTTCTTCTAGAAACTGATTTTAGAAGCATTGCTTTAATTTGACAACTCAGGATGTTCAAATGTATCATCCAGAACAGGACATTGTATCTATTTACCAGTGCAAACAATTTTTTTTCTCAAAGACCTTATAAAGGGTGGGGTGGGGGTTAAGGAAAGAAAATGTAACCTCTAAATCTATGAAGACTTCATCTAGCAGGCTTGAGCATCCTTCCTTGGCAACATCATCTAAAACAGCATCGATGCATGCATGACAGCTAGTCACGAACTCTTCCATCTTAGGAGTCAAGTATTTCTTTTTCAAACTGATGATGGAATCCCTTTGACAAACAAGAACAGAACCTTCAGCATCCCAATAGGTGTGCATGAGGGCCAATTCATGTAATTATTATCATGTAGTATTGCAAGCGATTAGCTTCCACAAAGTCATCCACATAATATTGTTTTGGTAGTATATGTGCAATAGCTCCTAGAACCAAGCTGATATCATGATTTGAGAAACATCATTGTCCAGATCAACCCTGTGAAATATTTGTGCATTTCCAACTGTGCCACTTATTGGAAATTAAGGAAATTATCAAGGAAATTAGTAAGGGTAGGACAGAGTTCATTGAAAGACAGATTGCTTAGTACTAGCAAACTTTCTCCTGTGATCTAAAGACACAAGAAAGAACTCGTTTATTCTAGGACACAATCTTAGCTCAGCCTGGATAACTATAAGGCCCAACAATAAGGTTCAGAAAATTCCACAAATTATTTGGGTTCTGTAGCTGAAGTTCAAAGTCTTCTTATCAGATAAATTGATATGGGAAGGGATCAAAGAACATTAAAAAAATTTAAATCGATGGCTCAGATGAACTTTGTATTTCAAGTCTCCAATTACTGGAACTTGAATTTACAGGTTTTCCTATACTATACCCTTTTTCCTTTGGAAGTGTGCCTGTAGACTGAAAAAAAGTCTTTCAAAGAATCACAACCTCTGCCCAACACCCAGAAAATTGTAGGTACTTTGTAAATGATATAATCACCATTATCACCTGCTTTGAAAGAAATTATCTAGAGCTCATTGTGCCATTAAACTGATGGTCTGAATTAGCAATATACAGTGGTACCTCAGCTCACAAACTTAATCTGTTCTACGACTCTGGTCACTATCTGAATTGGTTGCGAGCCAAGTCAAATTTCCCCATAATGTTCAATGTAAATAAGGTTAATCCATTCTGTAACTATTTTTTTTTAATTACAAAAATTTGAAACAAAGCAACAAAGAACAACAAAGTACATTACAGTAGAGAACACTAACCTAGGTGTGTGTGGGGGGGAGGTTATTGTTTGGAGGAAGAGCCCAAACCATAATCGTGTGATAGTGACTGTGCTGAGGTGGGGAGGGGTGCGATCGCGGGCACACTCAGGGGGAAGACGGGCACAATCGGAATCATGTTCATGCAGCAACATGACTGCGATCGTGGTCATCATCCAATGTGGAGTTCACGAACTGAGGCAATTTTTTTCTGAAATTTCTGGTCACAACCTGATTTGGTCATGAACTGAGGCACTTGTGAGCCAAGATACCACTGTACTGGATTGAGCAGACCCACCACCTCTTCTTACAGTTACAGCTGCAAAACCTGACCTGTACTCCTCAGTTCATCTAAAAGACAAACTGAAGATGTTAAGAATTGATCCTGAGCCCTCACACTTGCAAGACTGCCTGAATAGTCCATTTATTCAGTTCCTGCCTGAATAGTCCATCTTTTCATCTCCACAGCTCTGCACAGTGTGTGGTAAGATCTAGAAACTGGACAGTATTATTTTTAGAGTGACAACAAACCTAACACAAAGTGTTCTTCATGCATGGTGTGAACCCATCTTTCTCCCAGCTTTGCCATTGGTCATGCACCTGTCCCATGCTTCAGGTAGGCAATCTCTTGTTTGTTCTTAGAGTGCTAAATTTAGGTTTATTCATTTACACATTCATCTTTCAGGGTAATGAACAAAATGAACTCTATTCGTCATAATAACCTCTACTGTTCAATAGGTAAAGCTCTCTGGTTAGTTTACCAAAAATGGAACCTTAAAATACAATATTTTCATATCTGTACATTTATATACAACCTTAGCATGCAGTAGAGTTTGATGCTAAATGTGGATTTTTCTTTTTGAAAACGTACTTAAATGTCTGGCAATTGTTGATGATGGCAATCATATACTGAACATAGCATGGGTGAAACTGACGGTTTTTTAGATGTTCTTCTTTATATAAATGAGCTTCTTCTTTGTACCTATATAAAAACAGTGGAGAAAAACTCAGTAATAGAAAAAAAACATTTAGGAACTGAGCATCCTGCTACCTAAAGCTTGGAAAAAGCACTGAAGAAGTCTTGTGTCTTCTCCATTAGAATCCACCACAACATAACACAACTGAAGACAGGCTTACATTCTGAACAACTCCAGAGGAAAAGGTTCAGCAAATACATTGTAATAAAAACATGTTTCAGTATATGCAGTTTCTTTGTTTGTTTATTTATTTAAAACATTTCTTTGCCGCCCCCATCGCAACAAAGCCTTGGGGCGGCTTACAGCAAGAACCAAATTATACAATAAAAATATTAAAACCCCGGTGCATCTCGGCTTAAAAAAAAAAATTAAAATACTATAAATAACCAATAAATTAACACTTAAAATAAGTTTTAAATAAAAAGGTCTAGTTAAAAAGGTATAAACAAAATGGCAGGGGGCAGGCCTGTTCTGGGTTTCAGTTATACTTCAGAGTGAAGCTAATGAATGCGCTCCCCAGAGAGGTCCGCCTGGCGCCATCGTTATTTGTTTTTCGGCGCCAGGCAAAGACCTTTTTTTTTTTAAACGTCATTTTAATTGTTAATATTATTTATTGATTTTACATCTTTGGCCAGGACAGCTCCAATTATATTGTTTTTATATTGTTATTGTTGTTATTTATTGTTGTGAGCCGCCCTGAGGCTTTGGTGAATGGGATGGCATAGAAGTTTCCTAAATAAATAAACAATGAATAGAAAAAATACTATGCTATCAATAAACCTGTTACTGTGGATTGTCTGCAGCAACTTCTTATTAACAGCTGTCATCTGCAGGGACAAAGACCAAGGTGCAATGTCATTCCTAGCAGACTGGTGCTACAGGGCAAGTAGGAGAGCCTATGCCATCTCTGCTCATAGACACTCCTTGGGTTAGCAATGTGCATTGCCCACATTAAGATGTGAGCAAATTTCTCTTTAAACTGCCCCACCCCTGAAGAGCATCAGAAGCTCTCTATACTCTGCTAAAATATATACTGAAAACGGAAAGTGGATGAGGAAAGGGGCTTTTGCTTGAGTCTTGCAGAGTGTGAGCAAGTTGTATAAGAGGTTCTGACACAACTTCTGTTTCTGTTCACAGTAAGAAGCAGGAAGTGAAATATTCCTTTGAGTTTGCTTCATTCTTAAAGGAGTGAGGTGAAGAACAGGTATGGTTTCCTATCAGATTGGCAACATATCCAGGGCAACACACACACACACACTCCTTCAAAATGACAGAGAAGAAACAAGGGTAGGCTAGTATTTAATTTTACCTGCTGAGGAATGAACTCATTTGTTGAAGACATAGAAGTAGTACCTTTGTTTTCAAATCTTCACTTATCTGAGAAGCCACTTGAAGATTTTGCTCAAACATCTAAAAGCAGAAACCAATTAGTTAATAGTGTAGTTAAATCAGAATCCAGCAGCCAGTTATTAATCATGCTTCTAGCAGAATAAACCTATAGTACATGTAGGAGAGCTTGTAGCATTGACAAATGTATTTTTAGCCCAGACCACATATAGGACCTACACTCACTTCTTCTGTCCATCAAAATTACAGAGAATTTTGCTGATATTGCATAAAGACGCTGGCTGTGGCTGTACACCTTTCTATCTATGTTAGAAACTGCTGATCATTGCTGGTACAGCGGAACTAAAACCAAGTGCAACAACATCAATTGCAGCTGCATGGTCTGAGGCGATCCCATACCATTCAGGAATGTAGTACCATAGAATAGGATCTGGGAATACTTGAGCAGTGCAGACCTAAACATGTTTATTCAGAAATAAGTTCCACCATATTCAATCAAGATTTTTTCAGAGGTAAGCGGGCATAGGATCGTTGCCTAAGTAAATAAAGAGAACCAACCCATCCCACAAAAACAAGCGTAATAGTATATATGCATCAACAACTTGAGTAATTTTCAAAAATTTCAGAGTTGCTCACCTCTAATCAGTATACAAAAATCAACTGTTATACCTGGAATACAATAGCAGGGAGTGTTGTTTGATAGTATCCATCTTGATCAGATTCTGGCTCATTTTCTTTTAGCCAGTCTTTTTTATCTGTCTCCAGTGCTTTTCGTAGCCAGCCAATGATATTAGACTATAAGAAAATGAAGTTAAAAATTCAAGAGAACGAACTTGCCTAGATACTAGCTAGGTTATAAATATTATATTATATTATATTATATTATATTATATTATATTATATTATATTATATTACAGCTGGAAATAAATATTATGATTCATGTCAACAAGTCTCCAATTTTTTTTTAAAAAAGAGAATGTATATGTCACTGGAAAATCCTAGTTTATCACATAAAGTATTGGAGTACATCGGGCCCTAAAACGTTAACAGAAGGCACTGTTGTTGTTGCTGTTAGTCGCGAAGTTGTGTCCGACCCATTGCCACCCAATGGACAACATTCCTCCAGGCCTTCCTGTCTTCCACCATCCCCCAGAGTCCACTTAAGCTCACACCAACTGCTTCAGTGACTCCATCTAACCACTTCATTCTCTGCCGTCCCCTTCTTCTTTTGCCATCTATTGTTCTCAACATTAGGCTCTTCTCCAGGGAGTCCTTCCTTCTCATTAGGTGGCCAAAGTATTTGAGTTTCATCTTCAGGATCTGGCCTTCTAAAGAGCAGTCAGGGTTGATCTCCTCTTGGACTGACCGATTTGATCACCTTGTCGTTCAAGGGACTCGCAGGAGTCTCCACCAGCACCACAATTCAAAGGCCTCAATCCTTCGGCGCTCAGCCTTCCTTTTGGTCCAGCTTTCACAGCCATACATTGCAATTGGGAAAACCATAGCCTTGAATATACGCACTTTTGTTGGTAGGGTGATGTCTCTGCTTTTTAGTATGCTGTCTAGATTTGCCATAACTTTCCTCCCCAGGCACAAGTGTCTATTAATTGCTTGGCTGCAGTCCCTGTCTGCGGTGATCTTGGAGCCCAGGAGAATAAAATCTGTCACTACCTCCATTTCTTCCCCATCTATTTGCCAGGAAGTGAGAGGACCAGATGCCATGATCTTAGTTGTCTTAATGTTGAGTTTCAAGCCAACTTTTGCGCTCTCCTCCTTCATCCGCATCAAGAGGCTCTTTAGTTCTTCACTTTCTGCCATTAGAGTGGTATCATCTGCTTATCTGAGGTTGTTGATATTTCTCCCAGCAATCTTAATTCCAACTGGTGATTCATCTAGCCCTGCCTTTCTCATGATGTGCTCTGCATATAAGTTAAATAAGCAGGGCGACAGTATACAGCCTTGCCGAACTCCTTTCTCAGTTTTGAACCAATCAGTGGTTCCGTGCCCAGTTCTCACTGTTGCTTCTTGACCCTCGTATAGGTTTCTCAAGAGACTAATAAGATGGTCTGGTACTGCCATCCCTTTAAGAACTTCCCACAATTTGTTGTGATCCACACAATCAAAGGCTTTAGCATAGTCAATGAAGCAGAAGTAGATGTTTTTCTGGAACTCCCTAGCTTTCTCCATGATCCAGCATATGTTGGCAATTTGATCTCTAGTTCCTCTCCCACTTCGAAATCCTGCCTGTACTTCTGGTAGTTCTCAGTCCACATGCTGCTGAAGCCTAGCTTGTAGGATTTTGAGCATAACTTTGCTGGCATGGGAAATGAGTGCAACAGTGTGGTATTTTGTACATGCTTTGGCATTGCCCTTCTTTGGGATCGGAATGTAAACTGACCTTTCCCAATCCTGTGGCCACTGTTGAGTTTTCCAAATTTGCTGGCATATTGAGTGTAGCACTTCTACTGCATCGTCTTTTAAGATTTTGAATAGCTCAGCTGGAATACTGTCACCTCCACTGGCTTTGTTGTTCAGACTTCCTAAGGCCCATTCGACTTCACATTCCAAGATGTGTGGCTCGAGGTCAGTGACCACCCCATCGTGGTTATCAGGGAAATTAAGCTCTTCCTTGTATAGTTCTTCTGTGTAAGCTTGCCACCTCTTCTTAATCTCTTCTGCCTCTGTTAGATCCCTGTCATGTTGGTCCTTTATCATGCCCATCTTTGTATGAAACGTTCCCTTCATATCTCCAATTTTCCTGAAGAGATCTCTGGCCCTCCCTATTCTATTGTTTTCTTCTATTTCTTTGCACTGTTCATTTAAGAAGGCCTTCTTATCTCTTCTAGCTATTCTCTGGAATTCTGCATTCAATTGGGTGTATCTTTCTCTTTCTCCCTTGCCTTTTGCTTCCCTTCTGTCGTGCCTGACGGCTCAACAGAGGCATCTACTCATGAGGAAGAGGCAGGAGCTAACAGTGAGAGTCGGGCATTGGAACAAGGGGACTTATATTTGAGGCCCAGTGCCCAGACAGCCCCTCTGCAGCCTGACCCTGTAGCCTCTGAGAGAATAGCCTCCCCGGAGACACCTTCCTTCCTCAGCTATTTGTAAAGCTTCCTCGGACAGCCATTTTGCTTTCTTGCATTTATTTTTCTTTGGGATAGTTGCAGTTGCTACCTCTTGTACAATGTTGCGAACCTCCATCCATAGTTCTTCAGGCGCTCTGTCTATCAGATAATCCTTAAATCTATTTGTCACCTCTACTGTATATTCATGAGGAATATGATTTAGGTCATACCTGAGTGGCCTAGTGCTTTTCCCTACTTTCTTCAATTTAAGCCTAAATTTTGCAACAAGAAGCTCATGAATCTGAGCCACAGTCAGCTCCTGCTCTTGTTTTCACTGACTATATAGAGCTTCTCCATCTTTGGCTCAGAGCACATAGTCAATCTGATTTCTGTGCTGACCGTCTGGTGAGGTCCATGTGTAGCATTGTCTCTTGGGTTGTTGGGAAAGAGTGTTTGCTATGACCATTGTATTCTCTTGACAAAATTCTACCAGTCTGTGCCCTGCTTCATTTTGTACTCCAAGCAAGGGATATAGTGAGTGCCATAATTATCCACTTTATGTGAAATAGCTGATTATAATTAGAAGTATTAGAAATGTAGTAGAAGGATGACCTTTATATGTTTATAGGGATTTTCCTAAAGAAGAATTAGAACTTCCTGACACACCCCATTCTTTCCTATTGAAACAATTCTCAGTTCTTCCATCAAGTGTCCTCCATTCAGCCACCATTAGGAAAAAGGCAATAGAGTGCTTTGGATTTACATGGCCAACAATCAAAAGCATAGAACTTCAAAGAACCTTGTGAAAATCCTAAGAACACGGGAGGCAGTTTTGCTCTCTTGTAAGTGAAGGTTTTAGTGGGAGGTTCCATTTCAGAAGAACACAGTCAAATGCCCAGATATAAGCAGAAGCTTATTTTGGAAAAGGGTGAAAACAGGAAGAACAAGGGAAGACAACTGTCTCTCTCACAAAATTCCAAATAATACTCAGTACTCATCCTTACAGTGCTAGTAACATGTTACATACCTAAAAAAATTCTTGGGTGTCAGGGTACAGTGTGGAGTTCCTTGCAGAGAGTATGGTGTGAGAAAAAGAAAGCTCATATTTGGCTCGTCTCTTGGGTTGTTGGAAAAGAGTGTTTGCCATGACCATCGTATTCTCTTGACAAAATTCTACCAGCCTGCGCCCAGTTTCATTTGTAGTCCAAGGCCAAACTTGCCTATTATTCTGGTTATCTTTTGGCTTCCTACTTTAGCATTCCAATCCCCCATGATGATAAGGACATCATTTTTTGGTGTTAATTCCAGAAGGTGTTGTAGGCCTTCATAGAACTGGTCAACTTTAGCCTCTTCAGCACCAGTGGTTGGGGCATAGACTTGGACTACTGTGATGTTGAATGGTTTGCCTTGGATTCAAACTGGGATCATTCCGTCATTTTGGAGATTGTATCCCAGTACTGCTTTTCCTACTCTTTTATTGACTATGAAGGGTACTCCATTTCTTCTGAGGGATTCTTGCCCGCAGTAGTATACCTGATGGTCATCTGAATTAATGAATCACCCATTCGTGTCCATTTTAGTTCACTGATTCCTAAGATGTCAATGTTCAGTCTTGTCATCTCTTGTTTGACCACATCCAGCTTGCCTTGATTCATGGATCTTACATTTCAGGTCCCTACGGAGTATAGATCTTTGCAGCATTGGACTCTCCTTTCACCACCAGGTACATCTGCAACTGAGTGTCCTTTCGGCTTTGACCCAGTCACTTCATTCTTTCTGGCACTACTAGTACTTGCCCTCTGCTCTTCCCCAGTAGCATACTGGAGACCTTCCGACCTGGGGGGCTCATCTTCCGGCGTCGTATCTTTTTGCCTTTTGGTACTGTCCATGGGGTTTTCGTGGCAAAGATACTGGAGTGGGTTGCCATTTCCTTCTCCAGTGGATCACATTTTTCAGAGCTCTCTGCTATGACCTGTCCATCTTGGGCGGCCCTGCACGGCATAGCTCATAGGCAGTGATCCATGAAGGAGAATAGAAGGCATAATAGAAACCAAAGCATGCCTAGGTGAAATCTTGAGCTCATTGGACTAGATCCAAACTTAGTCACACTTGGAGCAATGCCACGAAAATGAAAGAGAGAAGTCAGTCATGTCAGTTTTTTCAATAAATCTATTCAAGATGTGGTTAAATCTGGATCTAACCCCTAATAGATAATGAAATAGGCCCAACATACCTCAGTAGACAATCACATGTTTTCCCCCCTTTAAGGGAAATTAACAAATTTGAAATCAGTGTTGCAAATCTGAACAATGAACTATTTTTTAATCCCATGTCAAGACAAAGGCAACTTGGAGCAGAATTAACCAAGTTAATTTAATCCTCTGTTGTTGTTGTTGTTTACACACACACAGGTTTTTTGGTTTTGTTAAAAGAAAGGGAAAATACCCTCAAAATCATTTGGAATGTAAGATGCAAGCAAAAGAAATGCTAAATTTTCCCCTATGCTGTTGTGTGAAGTTGCTAATGATAAAATGAACATCAGTTTTTATCAAAATGTGGGAGTTTCACTTTCCAATTGATTTCAGTAATGTACATTATTTCTTTATGATTTATTTAAAACTTTTGTATACTGTCCACTACCAAATGGTCTCAGGACAGACTTACAATAAAACAAAGTGGAACACAGCATCCATTCTATACAATAAAAACTCACTTAAAATCTCAATCTAAACCTTAAACTACTGGGAAAATAAAAAGGTTTTCACCTGGCACCGAAGAGAATAAAGTGTTGGCCCAAGCAAACCTTTCTGGGAAGCATATTCCACAACTGGGGTGCCACCACAGAGAAGGCCCGCGGAGTATATTGGACCCCTGATAACTCTGTGATTTTCTTTAATGAAATTGAAGACAAATGGAGCATCACAGGATAATTAACTTCATAATGATTGACAGGAACAAAAATATGAATATGAATTAGTCCAGATTTACTAAAAAGGTTTTAGAAATACTTTAATAGCTGCTGGGATCCATAGCAACCCAATTAGAATGGGAGGTTAAGGTTTGCAGCGGTATGCCAAACTGCTTGCCAAGGCACAAATTGCAATGTTAACAACCCATTAAAATATATGAAGTAAAATCTAGGCTGTGGGAAATAGGCTGAATACTACTAATCAGTATTTAAGCAGTGTATAAAGGAACAGGCAAAATTACTGTTACTACTTACAGTAAGAGTGGACATATACTTGCCAAGAAGTTCGTTCACTACTTCTTCGGAAAGCAGAGGCTTCAAAGAATTCACATCCACCTCTGGTGCAAGCTCTGGGTTTCCCATCATCTCCACACTGAATTGAAGAAAAAATCCAGGAGAAGTGAAAGAAAATACAGATTATGACCTAGGATTATTTGTCTAAAAGAAATAGTTTGAATGTTTGTTTATAGCTCAAAAATGTAATGTAAAAAAGACCAGGTCCTTAGCAAAATGTTTTAAAAGGTCAAATACAAATTACTGAACTACAAATGACCCAATGAAGTACAATAAATACAATAAAGTACAATACAATAAAGGTTAAATTAATAGCATTAAAGTATCAAACAGTCAAGTGACTGGCAGTCACCCTCCTGCCTTTGCACTTGTAGGCCATAGTGCTGGAAGACAGAAACAGGCTTTCTTCATTTTCTGCATGTTTGACCTTATTTGGCCGCAAGTAACATACTAGATAGTTGATCAGGGATTTTTTTTAAAAACAAGTTGAAGTTTCACAGAAGAGCCATGGAATATCCCTGAGCAGAGCATACTCATACAAGCATTCCTTGGCTGCAGCCCAACAAATGGAGCTGGCAGTCCTAGTGCTTGTATAGTAATTTTGAGTTGCATTAGATACAGCTGCAAGATGTAGATTCCAGCTAATTTGCATAAATTATTTAATTCTGAAAGCATTATAAATTCCTTACAGACATGAATCTTGGAAGCTTGCACACATCTATATGCCTTTATTTCAAGTGCAATATTGCCAGCAAGGTGGGTGACTACACCTTAGTTTATGCAAAATGCAAGACTAACCACTTTTCCCAGGATGAAGATCCACCAAGTTCCATGGGACTTACTCGCTTGGAAAATGTGCTTAAGATCACAATCTTTGAAAGATTGCTCTTGTTTATATCCAGCTGGAATACAGGTGAAACTAAAATACCCATCTAGGTATTGGCATCTATTGGGTGAAGCCATAGCTCTCCAAATAGTAGAGCACATACTTTGCATAGAAAAGATCTGTTTCCACATCCCTGACTTTTCTAACTGGAGATAATCTTCTGAAGTCTGCTTCAGTAAAATTAATGTCAACTACCCAGAACACTTTTTCAGTGGTTGCCCCTAAGCTGCAGAATGATCCACCAGGAGAGATGCATCTGATTCCCCAAATTTCCACTTTTAAGAGGGAGTTAAAGACTTATTTCTTCTGACAGGCCTTCCTGGATAGGTTCTCACATCAGTTTTATTGACTAGTCAATAGACTATTGACTATTTATTGACTAAGCCAAATTACTTACGGTTGGCTTAATTTCTAGTAAACTGTCCAGAGCCTATGGGAAATGGGGCAGTATATAAATACAAAACTGAAAAAGGGTCTTAGATGGTAAAGCTGGGAAAGACCTCTGCCATGGAAAGCTGCTAGCTCCCATCAGTAGAGACTATTGGTCTACAGCAGCTTCTCTCAAACAGGGTTCCCTGCAACCCTAGGGTTCCCCCAACGGTTTCTGGGGGTTTCATAAGAAATGTTTTTACATTCATGCACATGTTTATAATAAATATACATGTCATGTGATCATTTTGATACTCTTAATAGCATAATTGTTTAAATTAGTTAGAAACAAGTGTGCTGAAACTGAAATAAGTTGTACATTGTATTTTTTTCGTGCTAACTTGTGGGTGGAGCAAAGGGAGGCAGCCATGAATAGGGGATTGGCATTTGGTGGTTGACAACACTGTCATGGAGGAAAACTGAACATGCTGTTGAGCTGTATGGTAGTCATTATTTCAGCATTGCAAGTGGCTTGTTGGATATTTTCTTCATTCACAGATTTCTTTGGCAGCTTTGCTGTTGTAAGCATTGCACTTTGTCAGTACATTTTTGTGATATGGCTAGTACTAATTAGGATCAAATTACAACCTTTATTAATATTAAATCCAGAGCCCTACCTTTATACTATTTTTTATTCAGAGGTTCCCTGAGACATGAAAATTATTTAAAGGATTCCTCCAAGGGGAAAAAAGATTGAGAAAGGTTGGAATAAAAGATCTGGTTCACTAGAAACAGGGTTAATGAGCAAGTCATAAGGTAATAACTTGTGGATCACTGGTATATAGGACTATCACATTCACACCCATCCACCACTATATAAATCAAATTAAAACCATGTGTTCCTTTGTGTTACTTACCTTTTATAAGTGTTTAAAACCCATGTCAAAAGACTAACAATTTCATTTGCTTCCAGATTTTCAGAAGACAATTCCTGCATGCGCAAAAACAATGCCTTCTGGTACATGCCTAGAAACTCTTTGAAAATTTCATAATGAGGTGGGAAACATTGATCCATAAGATTCTTAGCCACCACCAGATCATCGAGGACATACTTGCGAACGATTTCCAGATGGCGAACAAGCCACATTTTGTCAGATTGTCGGGTGTCTGCTTGAGTGCCTTCAATCCTAGTGATGACAGTTCTGTCCAATACACCAAACATTATCTCCTTCCACCTTTTAGGCCTGCCTGGGGGGATGAACCCAGTTTGTTTTTTCCGATCAAGCATGCGCTTGTCTATTTTTTCTTCCCTCTCAATTATTCTAATAACTGAAACCAGCAAAGTTGGATCTCGACGGACAGTGACTAGAGCTCTTTGTATGACCATCCAGAGCTGCTTGGCCAGCTCTTCAGAAAGTATTTGCATTTCTCCAAAATAGTTGTCAATTAGGTTCATATCATGAGTGTTTTTGCTGTCCATACGGTACTGTTCATACATCAGATCATCTCGGGAGTACTCCAGATCCATCAGCTTCCGGTGGGCTTGTAGCAATTCCCCTTGCTCAATCAAATCTTGAGTTTCCTGAACTATCTCAGGCACTAAGAATTAAAAGGCAAAAATAAAATACAGTAAACAAATTTATTTCACATAATCCTGATTTCAGGGCCATAGTTACAAATGAACTCATAGCATATATAATGCCAGGGCAACTTTAATAGTACCTCTGACAATTCCACTATAGTATTGTGGTTCTATGGCTCCCTCAGAATGGGGCCATATATTGTAGACTCATACCTGAGAAAATGTTTTTGAGATTTTCCACAGCAGCTGCCAGTTGATTATGTTGAACTACAGCATCCTTAACATCTTTGAGGTTTTCTATGGTATTAATGCTTTGCCGCCAGTCTTTATTGACATCAATCAAAGAACGCTGAATATCCTTGACATCATTCAATGCATTGTGCAGTTGACTTAAACCTGTTCGGACTCCATCCAGCTGTGACTGGATTGCTGCCTGAAGTACAAGCTTAAGAGTTAGCTCATTTTACACTGCAACTAACAAGAAACTCTAATGACACAGATTATTGTTGTAGTGATATCATCCCTATCTGTTTCTCTATCAGCATCACAGTGGTAAGATTGTGAGATCTAGACACCTGAAACCTAGGATGCATACCAAGGGAACCCTAGATATGTGGATCACATGGTTATTTTAATATATGGATTAATTTTAATATATCACTGTGATTGAAACCCACCATAGCATCTTCAGCAAACAGAAAGATGCAAACAGCAAACAGTAACCCTGACCAAAGTATAGATTTACATTCTATACAGCCTGAAGCCACAGGAGAATAGTAGGCTGAAAACACAATTATATACCTTCCTCCTTCCCAGTCTATGGGGCATCCCTGCTCAGAAGAAGGGACTAGACATGACCCTCCATAAGGAATCTACACAGGTAAACCATGGCAGAGAGTGCTAATGGGCATGTCTTCACTCAGACAGGGTTGACAAAATGTGTCCAACTGTGGTAGCTATGCAAGTTTGCCTGAAGGAGTCACTGTATCAAACTAAGTACTAATCCAACATATATAAAGCCAGTTCACTTGTAGTAGATGTGCATACATTAGTGAGCCAAATATCCCTCCTCTGACTATTAGCTAGTGCCACAGCATCACTGATGGTGAAACTGTAAAACTGAAAATCTAAAGCTATCCCAATCACAGACACTTGGATTCAAGACCTCCTAGCACTGTCAGCCCATGAAAAGATATTCTATATTACGTTAAAGAATGAGGCAAAATATCAAACTATTTGGCATTTATTCCTCAAACTATATATGAAATAAAAGACCTAAACCAACAAAAAATGGAACATACCACACCAATGAAGAACCACCTCACTTTTCCCTTTTTTCCCCCTCCTCTTCCTCTCTCCCCCATGTCTCTCTTCCCTTTTTCTCCTTTTTAAAACCCAGCTGAAATTAAAAATGTGCACCAAGTGGAAACTGCACAACAGGGTTCGGAGTGCTAAGTTGCAGATGGCCAAGGGGAGAAATCAAGACATTGTAATTAAACTTGCCAAAAACCTGAAAAATTCAAAGCAAAATTTATTAAGTAGGCAAAAAGAAAAGTGGAAATATCCCTCAATGCCCAAATTAAGGGCTCTGATTTCCACAAATGGTAACTATGATAATTTACTATTGCAAAAACAGATTGTGATGTTATGTAGCACGTTACATCATCGGTATATTGTGGCATTAAAATCATGTCTTTTCAGGTATTAAAATTCAGCTGCATCTGATGGAATGGTGTTTGCCCATAAAATCTTCCGCCTCAATGCGCTGCTTAACTGCATTTATTTCAGCATAAACCTCATTGAAATCAACAGAATGCACTTCAGCGTTGTTGTTAGCTGCAAAGTCATGTCCAACCCATCGCGACCCTATAGGCAACATTCCTCCAGGCCTTCCTGTCCTCCACCATCCCCCAGAGTCCACTTAAGCTCACACCGACCGCTTCAGTGACTCCATCTAGCCACCTCATTCTCTACCATCCCCTTCTTCTTTTACCGTCAATTGTTCCAAGCATTAGGGTCTTCTCCAGGGAGTCCTTTCTTCTCATTAGGTGGCCAAAGTATTTGAGTTTCATCTTTAGTATCTGGCCTTCTAAAAAGCAGTCAGGGTTGATCTTTTCTAAGACTGACTGGTTTGATCTCCTTGCAGTCCAAGGGACTCGCAGGAATCTTGTCCAGCACCACAATTCAAAGGCCTCAGTTCTTTGGCGCTCAGCCTTCCTTGTGGTCCAACTTTCACAGCCATAACTTGCAACTGGGAAAACCATAGCCTTGACTATACGCACTTTTGTTGGTAGGGTATGTCTCTGCTTTTTAGTATGCTGTCTAGATTTGCCATTGCTTTCCTCCCCAGGAGCAAGCGTCTTTTAATTTCTTGGCTGCAGTCACCATCTGCGGTGATCTTGGAGCCCAGGAAAATAAAATCTGTCACTACCTCCATTTCTTCCCCATCTATTTGCCAGGAAGTGAGAGGACCAGATGCCATGATCTTAGTTTTCTTAATGTTGAGTTTCAAGCCAACTTTTGCACTCTCCTCCTTCACCTGCATC